TGTCTTGCTATAGGGGAGTGTGTGTGTGTGATGTATGTACATGGACTGTGTACGTCTGTATGTGTATCATGTGTCTCTGTGTTGTTGTTGTGTGTCTGCATGTCGTGTGTATGCGTGTCATGTTTGTGTCATGTCTGCATGTTATGTTCGTTGTGTCTGTGTGTCGTGTCTGTGTTCTGTCTGCGTGTTGTTTATGTCTGCGTGTTGTTTATGTCTGCGTGTTGTTTATGTCTGCGTGTTCTGTCTGCATGTTGTGTCTGCGTGTTCTCTCTGCGTGTTATGTCTGCATGATCTCTCTGCGTGTTGTCTGCGTGTTCTGTCTACGTGTTGTGTCTGCGTGTTGTTTATGTCTGCGTGTTGTTTATGCATGTTGTTTATGTCTGCGTGTTGTTTATGTCTGCGTGTTATGTCTACGTGTTGTTTATGCATACGTGTTGTTTATGCATGCGTGTTCTGTCTGCGTGCAGCCCGAGTGCGCCGTCTATAACCCGGTTCCCTCGTCGAGCGTGGGGGAGGGGTGGCGGCACCAGCTCTCCCTGGGCCAGGGAACCATCTGGGTGAGTGGGGTCAGGGGTCACGTTTACGAGGTCAGGGGTCGTCGTGGTGGGGTAAAGGGGGGGCACGGTGGTGGGGTTACAAGTCATGTTCGTGGGGTGAGGCATCATGGTGGTGGGGTTAGGGGTAACAGTGGTGGGGTGAGGGGTCACGGTGGTGAGGGGTCATGATGGTGAGGTGAGGGGTCATAGTGGTGAGGTGAGGGGGTCACCGTGGAGTCCCCTTCTTTTCTCTGTGTCTCTGTATGTCCTCATCATCAACCTATGTGCAGATATGGAGTCTGTGTCTGTCCCCGTGTCCCCAGATAGGGAGTGGGGATGCGTCGATGGGCCAGCTCAGCGTGCTGTCTCTTGGCAACGCGGAGCCGCGCGTCACCGAGGGCTTCAGCGTGGAGGCGCGCGTCCTCTGCGCCGAGTTCGTCCCCGCACCCCCCGACCCCCCGACCCCCGGGGGCTCCCCCCCCGACCCCTCCACCTGGCTTGCCCTGGACGACGGCAGGTGAGAGGTCAGGGGCGTGCACACGTGCGCGCGTACTTGTGTGCGTAGGGTGGGAGGCGGCGGCGGCGGCGGCGGCGCGGTTAGCGCACAGCGCTGCGAACACGGCCGACCCGAGTTCGATTCCCGCTCACGGCAAACATTGATGACGAATATCTGAACCGGTCCTGGAATTTCCCGAAGTCGACTAGATGACTACCTGCTGCGGTGTCTAAACATCAGCACTGGGGAGACAAAGGTTGGCCGGGGGTGGTGCTAGCCACCCACCCCCTCGTGTTAATGGGTGCTCGTTAAAGGCACTTGCAGAAAGAGTGCGTTAAAGGCTATACAGGGGACCTTTGTCTTTGTATGACCACGTGGCTGTACCTGTGAATGTGTGTTTGTGCGCGTGTGCAGCGTGTGCGCGTACCGCAGCAGCCCGGCGTGTAAGAAGGTTCGTCTGTGGAGGGAGCCGACGCCCGGGGGCTCCCCCGCCAGCAGCTTGCGCTACGCGCACGGGCACGTGTACGCGGGACTACGTGACGGCACGCTCGCCGTGTACATGCGCGGAGCCGGTACGCACGGCGTGCATGCACACACACTAAACGTATTTATATCACACGCAATATCACCTATATCCCCGCGTGTTCCCGTTTCTCCATGTCCTTGTGTGTCCATGTGTCCCTGTGTGGCCCCGTGTCTCGTCGCGTGTCTGCGCGTCCCCACGTGCTCCCGCGTGTCCCCGCGTGTCCCCGCGTGTCCCCGTAGACGCGGCGTGGGCGGTTCACGCGACCTTCTCGCTGGGCTCCCTCCCGGTCCCCGCGCTGCTTCCCGTGGGAGAGGCGCTGTGGGCCGCGTGCGGAAACCACATCGCGGTGCGCACCGCGGGCGGAGAGGCGGCCACCCCGGTAACCGCTACAACCGCCTTACGCCACAACCACCACGACCACATCTACCGTATCCACTCCGACAACCTGTCTCTCTCACCCACGCCCTCGTGACCCCACGTCTATCCCCCCCTCCCATCCCTGTTTTTCCCCCACACCCACATCGCCCCTGCGTCTCTCCTATCGTGTCCTTGTCTCCTCCTCCATGCCTCCACCTTTGTGCCCCCCCTCACCCCCCCTGGCAGCAGGCTGGGTTTGAGGCGCACCCCGAGGCGGAGGTGCACGTGTGCCAGGTGGCGCTGGCCGGCGTGGGCGTGTGGGTCTCCTTCTCGCGCGGCACCTCCCTGCGCCTCTTCCACACCGAGACGCTGGAGCAGCTGCAGGACGTCAACATCGCCACGCCCGTTAACCGCATGGCGCCCGGTACCACGCGCAGCAGCAGCAGCAGCAACTACGCGCAACCACCACGCAGAACCACGGGCAACCTTGTGCAATAACCGCACCCAACCACGCACAACCACGCACAACCACCATACCCAACGACGCACCACCTTGCGGAACATCCACGCGCAACCACGGTGCGGGACAACCATGCGCAACAACCACACGCTACGTGCAACAACCGCACGCAACCATCTGCAACCACACGTAACTATCCACCACCATGCGCAAAAACAACACGCAACCACTCACAACCACATGTAACCATCACACGCAACCACTCACAACCACTCACAACCACATGTAACCATCACACGCAACCACTCACAACCACTCACAACCACGCACGACCACGCACAACCACATGCAACAATGCACAACCGTGCGCAGCAACCACACAACGCCGTATCGTGCACAACCTCAATTTGCTCACAGGCCTTAATGGGTGCCCACTAATAACACCGAGGCGCAACAGTTGTGTTGAGGTCGTGTTTGTGTGTGCAGGTGGTGCGGCACAGCGGCCCCTCGTGGTCACGTGCCTGGCCAGCTGCCCGGGCCTCCTGTGGGTGGGCACGAGCCTGGGCCTCATCGTCGCCCTGCCCCTCCCCCGGCTGGAGGGGCTCCCCAAGCTCACAGGTCTCACTCACACTCCTCACTCGTCTCACTCGCACTACTCACTCGTCTCACACTCCTCACTCGTCTCACACTCCCCACTTACACTCCCCACTCGTTCACACTCCCCACTCGCACTCCCCACTCGTTCACGCTCCTCACTCGCACTCCTCACTCGTTCACGCTCCTCACTCCCTCTTCTCGCTCCTCACACTCCTCACTCACACTCCTCACTCACATTCCTGACATTCGCTCAGCAAGCACGGGTCTCATTCACGCCCACTCTCATACGTATTCATGCTCACTCGCGCTCAAAGTCACACTCACTGCACTCAACTTCACCCAGTCACACCGACTTACACTCACACCCACCCACTCACCCCGTCACACCCACCCACTCACCCCGACACACCCACACACTCACCCCGACACACCCACACGCTCACCCCGTCACGTGCACTCACAGCCATCTCCCCCTCGCGGTGCCAGGCCGAGGCATGGTGGCGTACCACGCGCACAGCGGCGCCGTCACCTTCCTCGCCGTCGCCATGGGAACCAGCGCCGCCGAGGCAGGGGCCGAGGCGGCGGGGACTCCCTCCGCCGCCGCCCCCCCAGGGTTCGAGGTGCATCACCCCCCCGACTCCCCTCTCCCCTGCGGCCCGGAGTCCCCCTTCGCCCTCGACGAGGGGACCGCCCTGGGACCCGAGGGGGCGGGCGGCGGCGAGGGGGCGGAGAGGGGGGGGGACGTTGGTGGGGGGCGACGGGGGGCCCGGGCGGCGGGGGTCTCCACGGCCCTGGTGGTGTCGGGGGGACTGGGCTACCGCTCCCTGCCGAGACCGGGGGGCAAGGCCCCCCAGGGCCCCCCTCACTCCCAGCACAGCCTCATGCTGTGGTACTACCCCGTGTGAGCTGCGGGGATCGTGAGGACCCAAGGGGACCTATTGGGGAACCTGTGGGGGGGACTTGTGGAGACACAGGGACCAGTGGAGACTCATTTGGACCTATGCAAAGGAATGTGGGGACCCAAGGGAACCCATTGCGACACAGGGGACCATTGACAACACATTGAGGATGCGTGTAGACCTGTCGGGATGCACGGGGACCATTTGTTGACTTATGGGCTGCCCTGCCCTGGGGACCTATAGGGAGACCAGGTGAGCAGCAGGACCCAGTGGAGGCCAATGGGGACACAGGGGACCAGTGGGGACGCAAGGGGACGCCGTCTGAGCAGGACCATCAGTGGGGACCCATGGTGGGGGGGGGGGTACTCGACACTACAACGCTTGTGGCATATAACCAAAATAATGGGGGGGCAGGGTTGCCTCTGGAGGGATTATAGGTTGTCGATTCTTCCTCCACCCCATGTGGAATGGTCCAGCCCATAGCTGTCTCTTCACTTGGGTCGGTCCACTCATGGAGGGGGGGGGGGAATTCTCTCGATGTTGGACGGATCTATCATCACTTTTTTGCCGCTTGGAATTTTATTAATCGATTTTTACCCACGGAATTTTTACTCAGTTACGTGACGCCACAGCGCCACCGCGGCGAGCAACCACTGGGGGTGTATCCCACATTAGCCACTTCTAACCCAAATTCCTCGCCCCGCTACTCATCCCGATTCCTCACCCCCCCCTCTCTTCACCTTGCTCCTCATCCAACCCCACTCCTCGCCGTGTTCTCAAGCCACAACCGAGACGACCGCACGTGCCGGATCATTGGCAAACACGGCAGGCCGCCGCCTTGGCGATAGCGGGCGAGGGATGTGGGAGGTGCCTTCTAAACCACGAGGGTCGCGTAGGGTTCAGGGGAGGTCACGAGGGGGTCACGAGGGGGTCACGTGGAGCGCTGTTACGTGTATTTAAACTTGTAGACGCTGGTGTTTGCGGCCGGGGCGCGCGTTCTGCCCGGGTCACGGGGCGCGAGCGGCGCTAATAAACTCTCGCTTATGCAGCAGCAGCAGCGGATTCTCTGTCTCGAACGCGACGCGGGATGATAGTGGGGCGAAAAGAAAATTACGCCACCAAAAACAACTTGTTTAAAAAATATATTTATTTACAATCGCTTCATTAACCACAACTCTGCACCTCGGTATGGCTGAGCAGAGGTTGTCTACGCCACGCGTGGCTGCCTGTGGAGGCAGCAGGAGCGAGGCCTGGTGGATCGCAGTACAGATGTCGCGAAACTCCCTTCCCGTGGGGGTCGAGGAGGTGCCGCCATACCCATGGCTCGCTCAGGAGAAGGCAGTACAGCAAGCGTGGATTCATCTTCATGTGTCCCACCTATACGGGATAGAGTGTTGCCCCACCTTGCACGTGCGGGTTTTCTCCAGGTGCTCTCTGGTTTTCCTTTCGTGCATAAGCACGCGCGCGGCTCCGTGTGTGAGGATTGCGCAACGTTGTACGATGTGGTTACGGACGCGCGAGAAACACTCAACATTCTTGTTGCTGAACGGGAAGCACCAAACCCACAGTCTCCATGGCCCAGGGCCGCCCCGGTGCTATCCCCAGAAAAGACATTGGCCTGGGTTCGTGGAGCCCAGTCCCCCCCTCCCTTCTCCCTCCCCTCACGGTCCCCTGCCCGAACTTAGGTCTGTGGTTGGGGGTGGCCCTGGGGGCAGGGGGATCCCCACGGCGGATTGGCTCTCAGTCTTGTGTGCCTCCTCCACCTGCCCACACACACAACGACAAAGACTGCCCATTTAGCCTTACACAGACTGTTTGGGGCGACTGCTATTTGCAAGCACCTATTAGAGCAAGCATGGCACATGAGTGTCGGTGGTCATGACCACGCCCGGCTGTCTTCGTCTCCCCAGTGGTGATGTTTACACGACACACCAGATGTTCGTTTAAGGCTTAGTCGACCGAGGGGAGGCACAAGACGGTTTCAGATATTCGTCACCGATGTTGGCCTTAAGCGGGAATCCAACTCTAGTTTCTGGGTTTGTAGTGCAGTGAGTTTACCACTACACTACCGCTCTGCACCAGCTCAGACACTTATGTTCACATGCGCATACACATACACCAACAAGTACAATAACCACCCACAACAACAACCACAATTCGCTACTGTGGGGAAGACATCACCATGGTGCTTGTGCCAGGCTAGGTGCACCTTGAGGTCACATTAAGTGCCGAAGGTGCGCTGCCAGGTCACGGAACAGACCCAGGTGCCACGGGTTGGCTGAGACAACTGACAGATTCACCACCTGTGCTCACTACTGCGCCTAGCGCTTCGCTCGTTGTTGTCAGCGTCACTCCTCTACCCTCCACTGATGTTGGGAGGGCGACTTCCTCCAACTGCCCAGTAGTATCCTTCACGAGCCTCCTCCACGGAGGCCGATCTTGACTCTGCTGGTCCCGCCCAGACAAAGACGAAGAGCCCCCATGTAGCCGCACAGACAATGTAACGACAACAACCGCCGACAACCGCCGTTCACGACTGAGTGGCGGTGACGTCACCACTGCGCGCGTGCCATGCTAGGTGTCAAAAGGCCCACTGGCAGGAGGTCACGACCGACTGAGATGACCGAGATGACCCCGGCAAACGATGTAGCCGCACACACGCACTCGCCTGCGCGGGGCTGCAGCAGTCCTGGAGGAAGAGGGTTGCGAGCGTGCGGAGGCGGGCGCTCTTCGCCTGCTGCAGGCGCAGCATGCACTGCACCACGGGGAGCGCCGCCCACGGCCCGCGCTGCTGTCGTTGGTGCCGATGCTGGTGCAGCAGCACCAGCGCGGTGATGGCCGAGAGCACCGTCTCCTCGCTCGCGCGCGACAGGCAGCGCACCGCCGCCTCCACGCCCCCCGCCGCCTCGATGGCGTCCCGGCAGCGCGGGTCCGCGGACAGGTTACACAGGCCTCCTGCGAGGGGGTCACGAGAGTCGTGCAGGGATAGGGGGCATGGGGGTGGAGGTTGGTTGTGGTGCAGGGAGGTTATTGGCGTTGTGGTTTGTGGCTGAGTGTGAGTGTAGTTAGGTGCTGTTCAGTGTTAGTGGTTGAGTGTTAGCGTGGTTGTGGTTGAGCTAGTGTGTGACTATGTTTAGTGGATGCGTGTTATTAGTGTCAGTTCAACGGTCGCGGTCGAGTGCTTGTGTCTCTCCACCCACCCATGCCGAACTCCGCCGTTCTCTCTCTACTGCTGGTCGCTGCATCGCTGAAGAGCGCGGGGACCTGCAGCGCCAGCAGGAAAGGGGCCTGGGTCGGGTCCGACGCGAAGTTGGCCAAGTTCGCCAGCACCTGGTCACACGCGCCTGCAGCAGGGGTCAGTGAAGGGTCAATACAGGGTCAAGGGGTTAGTGGTGCTGGGGTTTATTGATGTCAGGGTTTGTGGAGGTCATGGCGGCCTGGAGGGGGGGTTAAGGCTATTGGGGGTCAAGGTTCACCGCCAGTTTTACAAACACGCCGAGAGGCTCATGTGACATACGTAATGGTCACGTGATGTGGTTAATGGGTCACGGGGTGTAAAACTATGACTATTTTTATTGTACCAGGTTAAGGCCCACTGAGCTGTGTAGCTCTTTTTTCAGAAGCGACCTGGCCACAAATGATGGCTCAACGAAGTGGGGCTTGTCGCGTGTAAATGTATTGCAGCCAAATACTCCACGCATGTTTCTAAATGTTGAGGGGAAACCCGGAGGACCCGGATAAAAAAAATCCATGCAACCACGGGGAGAGACGCACGCAACTCCAAATATACAGCAGGCGTCAGGGTTGGGATTGAACCCACGACCTCATGTATACATCTCGCCACCGTCCAGTTAAAGGAGTCTCGGCGGGTTGTGGGAGAAAAGGATGACGAGGTCAGGTTTATGGTTCACGGGGGTCGGCCGGAAATCAACGGTGGCAGCCCCGCCCACTCGTAGGTAGCCACGCCCAGTCCCCCACTCGCCTTACCCACAGTGCGTGGCCTCTTGTATAGGGACTCCTATACTTGTGAACATTCGACTTGCGAACTTTCAGAGATAAGAACAAACCTGTCCGTATGTCCAGTTGCCTGTTCGGACCGAGAGTCGCAAGTTAAACCGCCGCACAATAAATGGGAGTGGTGGCATCTACAACTCCAGAACGTGAACCAGTGGCATCGACATCTGCTGAACGTCAAGAACCAGTGGCATCTACATCTGCAGAACATGAAGAACCAGTGGCATCTACATCTGCAGAACATGAAGAACCAGTGGCATGTGCACCTGCAGAACATGAAGAACCAGTGGCATCTACATCTGCAGAACATGAAGAACCAGTGGCATCTACATCTGCAGAACGTGAAGAACCAGTGGCATCTACATCTGCAGAACATGAAGAACCAGTGGCATCTACATCTGCAGAACGTGAAGAACCAGTGGCATCTACATCTGCAGAACGTGAAGAACCAGTGGCATCTACATCTGCAGAACGTGAAGAACCAGTGGCATCTACATCTGCAGTACGTGAAGAAACAGTGGCATCTACATCTACAGAACGTGAAGAACCAGTGGCATCTACATCTACAGAACATGAAGAACCAGTGGCATCTACATCTGCAGAACATGAAGAACCAGTGGCATCTACATCTGCAGAACGTGAAGAACCAGTGGCATCTACATCTGCATAACGTGAAGAACCAGTGGCATCTACATCCGCACATCGTGAAGAACCAGTGGCATCTACATCTGCAGAACGTTAAGAACTAGTGGCATCTACATCTACAGAACGTGAAGAACCAGTGGCATCTACATCTGCAGAACGTGAAGAACCAGTGGCATCTACATCTGCAGAACGTGAAGAACCAGTGGTATCTACATCTACAGAACGTGAAGAACCAGTGGCATCTACATCTACAGAACGTGAAGAAAC